ATGTTACGGATCAGGTAAGCGCCCTGTGCATCTGGCACACAGGAAGTAAGAACATAAAAAGAGCCTTCTAGATCCGACCAGCTGTCCATCCAGTCCGGCATCATGTCTCTCACACTGGCCAGCCAGTTCCTCTGGAGGGCCAACAACACGGCATAGAGGCCGAGGCCTTCCCCGATCTTGCCTCCTGAGTCTGGGATCCAGAGGATTAGTGCCTCTGAATGTGGAGGTTCCCCTCAGTCACCATGGCTAGCAGCCATTGACAGACTTCTCCATGAATCTGTCTCATCCTCTTTTCAAGTTGTCCATTCCTGTGGCCATCACAACACCCTCTGGCAGCAAATCCCTCATTTGAGTCACTCTCTGTGTTAAGTAGCGTTCCCGTTTGTCCGCCCTGAACCAACTGCCCGTCAGTAATGTGTCTGAAAGCAGACTTCTGAACATATCTTTGCAGCGTAGCTTTATCCATGTGGGTAACGGGTAGCCCACGCAAAGCACGCGGCTCCGATCCTGAAATAACTTTGCTGGCTCTCAGTTCCTTTGGTAAAGTCAAGATCGGCACTTTAGATTAAGCCCAGGAACTCTATAAGTTCCTAGCACTGGGGTAGTAGTAGTAGAAGAAGAGGTTGGATTTATACCCCGCCCTTCACTCGGCGTCTCAGAGCGGCTTAAAATCTCCTTCCTCTCCCCACAACAGACACTCTATGAGGAAGGTGGGGCTGAGAGAGCTCTTTTCAGAACTGTCCTTGAGAGAGAACATCTCTGAGAGAACTTGTGAGTGGCCCAAAGTCACACCAACAGCTGCATGTGGAGGAGGAGTGGGGAATCAAACCCTGTTCTCCCTCGATTTAGCCTCAGAGCCTTGGCTCGGTGGTACAATAAAAACGGCAGGCAGGAGATCTCGTGCAAGAAGCAAAGTTTTGCCCTTGCTTCTTGGACCCAGCCTTGGTCTCCGCATTGAAACACTCATTTCTGTAACCTCCCACCGGCTAAATACGCTCCTGCTAGCGTAGCGCTGAGCTGACCTGCCAGAAATCCTTCACAATCACTCAGAGCCACCTCCAAACCTGAACGGCCTGCTTAGAGATGTGAAGACCCGAGGGAAAAAACAGAACATTTCAGGGGGGAAATGGGTTTTTTTCCGTTTTTTCCCTGAAGCCTTTTTGCTTTTTTCCGAAAAATTGAAAAAAGAAAATTATAGAATGTTTTATTTTAACATGATGAATAAAATATTTTAAGACAAGGTGTTCAAATATTTTCCAAATAATTTCATATATATATGGTATCAGATTGATCTATTTTCTGTGCACTGAGGACAAGCAAGTCCTAGGTTACAAACTGAACTCTCCAATGCAAGATGCATTTCTTCCTTTAGGAGGTGCTATTGTCAGAAGACAATAAAAAGGTTTCAGTTTTGTTTTTGCATGTGGGTGGGTATTCTGTTTGTAATAATTGTTTGGATACACTATATTTTTAATATGCTAGTTGTGATAATTTCATGCCAAGTAAAAATGTCCATAGTCATATTTTATGTTCCTAAAGTAACAGAATGACTTTCAATCTAGAAAAGACAAAAGAAATGCTAATGTAGCATTTTTTTCAATTTTTCCGAAAATTTCCGTTTTCCCCCGAAAAAACCCAGGGGGGGAAACGGGTTTTTTTTTTCAGAGCTTCAAAATTTCCGGAAATTTTACATCTCTAGGCCTGCAGTGATCCACCGAGAGCCTCCTTTGACCCTTTCTCTCCCCCCTCCCCCCTTTGCAGGAGTCTTTCAACAACGTCAAACAGTGGCTGCAAGAAATAGACCGCTACGCCAGCGAAAACGTTAACAAGCTATTGGTAGGGAACAAGTGTGATCTGACCACAAAGAAAGTAGTAGACTACACAACAGCGAAGGTAAGTCGGGGGCCGGGGGGGGAGAGATCGTGTTCTGGGGGCTTCTGTAGCACCTAAAAGACTAACAAAATTTGTGACGGGGTGTGAGCTTTCGTGAGTCACTGCTTGCTGCTTCTTTTTAAGTTTTAACTGCTTACTTCTTCAGATCCAGCTAGAACGTGAGTCCAGCTGTCCTTATATCTTGGAGAGCGGAGTGATGTCAGATGCCAGATGACATTAGCAGGCAAATGACAGTAGCAGGCATGATTGGATTAGGTGTGAGATGCAAAGGGGGTGGTAAAAGAAGAAGAGGAAGAAGAGATTGGATTTATACCCTATGGCCCTTCACTACCCAAAGGAGTCTCTGAGCGGCTCACAAACTCCTTTCCCTTCCCCTTCCCGCAACAGACACCCTGTGAGGTAGGTGGGGCTGAGAGAGCTCTGACAGAAACTGCTCTTTTTCAAGGACATGTACCAGATTTAGCCAATGCCTGACACAGAGCTGCAGATCTGTTCTGCCTTAGCACACACACACACACATCTTAGTCCCGTTCAAGAGGTAGGGGTAAAGTTGAAAGCGGAAGGCACAGGTTTAGTAGCTGTTGACTGTACTTGAACAAACGTTCTCCAATAGTCTTGATAAGACCAGCTGCATGTTTGGATATAGAGGTAAATTTTATAACACTGAGAAACATTTCAATAGTAGCATATTAATTGCTGGACATAATGAACTCATCTCTGAAAAAGTTTAGTTTACAGCGACTGCTCCCCCCCCCTTTTTTTTTTTTGCTTTCAAGTTGCTTCTGATGTATGATGCTCCCGTTTGGCTTTCAGGGGAAGAGATGTTCAGAGGTGGTTCGCCACTGCCTGCCTCTGCCTAGCAACCCTTTGGCGGTCTCCCATCCGAGTACTAAACAGGGACGACTCTGCTTAACTCTTGAGATCTGACGAGATCGGGCTAGCCCGGGCTCCATGTTGGGGCAGAGGTGGTTCGCCACCGCCTGCCTCTGCACAGCAACCCTTTGGCGGTCTCCCATCCGAGCACTAACCAGGGACGACTCATGTTTAACTCTTGAGATCTGATGAGATCGGGCTAGCCCGGGCTCCATGTTGGGGCAGAGGTGGTTCGCCACCGCCTGCCTCTGCACAGCAACCCTTTGGCGGTCTCCCATCCGAGCACTAACCAGGGACGACTCATGTTTAACTCTTGAGATCTGACGAGATCGGGCTAGCCCGGGCTCCATGTTGGGGCAGAGGTGGTTCGCCACCGCCTGCCTCTGCATAGCAACCCTTTGGCGGTCTCCCATCCGAG